TGTGTATATGTATGTGCTCGAGAAAACTTGCAGTGTATCTCCCCATTATAAGATAAAACAAATACCTTATAAAAAAAAAACTGCATGAAACCCCGCTCCATAAAATCGTACAAAAGTTTATACGCTAGAGATATACGTATAAAAGGAAACTTTGAAATATTGTACATTTACGAATACGTAATTCAGTTATTGCTACTGTACTATTTACGTCTATACCCGGCAATTGTTTGATGGATTGAAATGGAATACATTATCTTTTTTCATACGGGATACAGTACAAACGATAAGAAATTAGAGTGAATATTGATATCCGTCGGGCATTGTGTGACGAAGTTATCACGAACATTGAACCTAGCGCACCACCTTCCGCTCCGGACATCATTCCAGTGTGGGTGGTAGTTCTGTCGGCCTGCGCAGGAATGATAATCCTCTTGCTGCTCATCTACTTGCTTCATAAGGTTAGTAATGCGTGCATTATAAAACAAAAATAAATAATTAAAAATTTTTTTTTAATTGTTTTGTGGAGAAATATTGATCCAAATATCTAGTGATATTTAAATTTGCTAAATTTATTCAGTCCTCAGTGTTGATATTAATGCTTGAGACGTGGATAAACAATTGATTGATTAATCTTGTCTATAATTTACAGTGCGGATTCTTTAAGAGGAATAGGCCTTCCGACGCTCCAGAAAGGCAACCGCTAAATCGAAACGGTCATTTCCAGCAAGGCGAGGATCACTGAACAGCCTCCTTTTTCAATTTCGTTCTATCGAAGTTTTTGACCTTCTGGCTATATCGGATTGAATCGCAGACGAGAACCTGGCTACGCGATCGAAGAGTGCCTTGGTCTTTTGATAATCAAAAGAACGCACATTGCGTGGATTCGCTTGGCGTAGTCTGCGGACGTGGTCCCGACTTCTACCGAATATCTTAATAGCGTTTAACAGTGCCTTAATTCACTGTCCAAGATGAACATCTGCTGAGGCGCATGGATTCTAAGTGACAATCGATTCGTCATTCTTATACTGCCACTGAATACTCCTTCCAGCTCCTGCAGCTCGACCACGCAAGTTTCTAGTCAGGAGACGATTTTCTGTTTTTATTACCTGTAATTACTTAAGCCGCCCGTACAGTCGGCAGATACGAACGAATATTTCGACATTCTTCGGTAAATCGTATCTTCATGTATATAAGTATATATATGTTATTTTTTTTAACGTTATCCGGTAAAGCGTCTTGATATGTGCCCCGTCGCTTCCGCTGCCTTTTTACGGTAAAATAGAATTATTTTTTTATCCGCGTCCAATTGGCACGATCTCTAAAACGATCTTGTATCTTGTCAATAACCATCTCCAGCGGAACTCATTCGAAAACATTATGGGTTCTTTCGTAAAGCTCCTTTTACACAAGACGGTGATCAAATGTTGCATATCGTGAACATTAAATTTACACGTCGTGAAAGATGGCTTATTGTTAATTCTTCAGACGTCTTTTAAATGTTTCCTCCAAGTTTTTGTATTGTTTGTGAATAATGTATTGTTATCAGCATTTCAAACATTACTCACGACCGGTTTAAAAGGGATCTATAAATCTCTTGAAAACAGCCTCGAAGACGCACGGGGCTCTTTTTAATTATTTATTAAATTTCTATGTTATATATATATATAATACTATAATTCGTAGGCTTGAGCGCCGTAATAATAGCGTGACTTACTATGGTCGCACGCGCAAGACGCGAATGTGTGTACAATTTGTAAATTATTAATTTACATTACTAAAATTTTATATCCACGAGAAGTGGTTTAACGCAATAATATTCGATTAGAAAGGAGACTTTTTAGTATAAATAGGAGATTAGTGCTGACTTGTACATACAACGTTAAGACATAATACGAAAAAAAATATATGTAATGAAATTAACACACCATTATGCATATATTGCTAATTTTTTTTCTAATAAAACTGTTAGGAGAATAGCTTTGATTAATATAAGTAAAGAAAGGAAAATTAAATCAGATGTGAATTTGTACAACTATTTATTGAAAAATTACAATGATGTAACAGAGCGATTGGTAAAAGAAACGTTTAATTACCATCTCAACATCGTGTGTACTGTCTGTACTCTGTACTGTATATTAATTGATCGCATTGACTGTTTCTATTGAAACCAGCCTATAACTTATCGTGCACAAATTATAAGAAAATTCGGGATATAAAAAAATATATGTTTCATTAATCTCGTCTTTTTTTGTAATAGATTTGGATAGTATCCCCCCTCCCATATTTTCGTTGATAAAATTTGTATAAAAATAATCTATAATGAGAGTACAATTGTCAGTTTGTAAAATATTCTACCACCTTCGTTAATAGTTTTTCTCGCGTTTCAAGAGCTTCGCACAAATGGATTGGAGTGAACGATGAATAATTGTCATAAATGTAACTGCAAATATGACTGATGTTTAACAATTTGTGATTACATGTATGTATGTGTATATGTATGTGCTCGAGAAAACTTGCAGTGTATCTCCCCACTATAAGATAAAACAAATACCTTATAAAAAAAAAATTGCATGAAACCCCGCTCTATAAAATCGTACAAAAGTTTATACGCTAGAGATATACGTATAAAAGGAAACATTGAAATATTGTACATTTACGAATACGTAATTCAGTTATTGCTATTGTACTATTTACGTCTATACCCGGCAATTGTTTGATGGATCGGAATGGAATACATTATCTTTTTCATACGGGATACAGTACAAACGATAAGAAATTATAGTGAATATTGATATCCGTCGGGCATTGCGGAATCATTACTCTTCAAAACGCCAATGTTATATTAGACAATATATACAAATTCGCGTCGTATTTAAAATGGTATTCCTATTTAAAATCGCGCTCAACAATTTGTTTCGTTTCATTCAATCTTTCTAATGGGCTATCGATAAGACGGATAATGATCTGCGATTTTACGCATTATCGCTGAATAAAAAGTACATGTATGTATACACCATACATTTAGTAAACGGTTGTAACAATGATCTAACATACGAGTAAAAACGAAAAGAATCCTAAACGAGTATCAATGTTTTGGTATCTGCGATTCTTTCAGTTTCACGATATCACGGTGCACGCAACCTTAAAATTTCCTCTAATAATATTACGTGTGCGTTCAATAAATCTTTCCCTGTGGATCACGAATATATAACCCTGTCTTCAGAATTGGACTAAATATCGACATTTTTTATCAACCAACGCGAACAGCACCTGTAGAGTGTTACCTTCCAAACAGTGATATTGGACAATGGACACATGAACATTTGTATTATCATCTAATTGTCATTATCGCTATTAATTCGATCATCTATATCCTTATACGTGTTATCCTCATATCAGCTATCGGGAACCTAAAATCAAGCAATTTTTAACAGAGAACAGATTTAATGGAATAAGTTGATTTAGTAATATAAGATTGCTTTTGTTCTTACTTTCCACTGTAACTGAGTGCCCGCTTCGTAAAGCTCCTTAAGCGTTTCCCTCAAAGTGCCACAGCTTTCCAGTTCTTTGTACTTACGATACAATTCTAAGGCTGCTCGCGAATCCTCGGTCGAATCGTGAGTTTCGGACTGAATCTTTTTACCCAAAAAGTGCCAGGTCAAGAAGCGTAACGACACCATACGATGATGAGGTAAGTGGAATAATAAAACCGTATCTACTATTTGCTCCGGCGGTACCACCATA